AGACGACTGTCCTCAGCACATCGAAGCGACAAAAAATGGTTAAGTTCTGAAGAATCTGAGTGAAATAGCCAAGTCACTTTCATGGCAGTTTTTGAAACCTTGTGTGTAGAGTTGTGATACTTTCTTGTTCAGCTCCTGTGGGGCACTTATAAAAGCTGATTAAATACCACTGTGAAGAAACTGCAAATAAACTGTCTGAAGCAGCTGCGTGTTCTAACCCAGTGCAGCAGAACTGGAAACCAATGAAAAGTGGTTGTCACAACTGCCTGCTAAATATCTTGTCTCAAAGAGGAAACAAAAACTGAATATAGATTATTTACAGCTTAATGATAATGATCATCTACTTTCAAACTTTTGAAGTGTGTCTAAAGCTGAATTCAGAGGAAAAGCAATAGGCCAAAGGCTTTTATTAGAGGTACAGAAATTTTAAAAACAAAAGTAGTAAGCTTGAGAGAAATTAGGAAAATAAGCAATAGTAAAAGCAGAAAGTAAATAATTGGAAAATGGGAGAACGGAGGAGTTTGAAAATAAAGAGCTGTCATTTGAAAATGCCTCTGAGATAGGCCCTGACTGCTCTCAGTCTTGGCCTGCTCTTCTCTTTTACTTAGCCTTCAAATGTTAACGTTTCCACAAAGTCAGGTTTGGTCTTTAAGTTTCCTCCTCTTCTTCTCCTGTATTCCTTTCATTACATTAGGAAAGCTCTCGAAGTAATTTGTTTCGTCAGTGAGAGAGAGCTTGGTGCATTTCCATTGCTGAATGAAGGCCAGTGCCTGTAACCACATACCATAGACTGGGTGGCCCACACACAGTAGGAGTTTATTTTCCGAGTGCTGGAGGCTGGAAATCCAGGATCAGAGTGCCCGCGTGCTCGGCTTCTGGTGAGGGACCTCCTCTGGGTCCAGACTGCTGATCTCCCCTTCCTTCCTCACCCCGCTGAGAGCAGAGAGGCGGAAAGTCTAGTGAGGGCACTAGTCCCATCAGCAGAGGCTCCACCCTCATGAGCTCATCTAGTCCCGGTCACCTCCCAGAGGGCCACCTCCTGACACCATCACCTGGTGAGGGGGTGGGGGCAGAGTTTTGACATGTGAATTTGGGGG